GTGTGAATGGGTGGATGACTGGATATGTAAAGCGCTTTGGGGTCCTTAGGGACTAGTGAAAGCGCTATATAAATACAGGCCATTTACCATTAGCGTGTTTTGCATATTAAGTTTGCTTAACACCTGGCTCTGCCAGGAGCCTGCATATATACCATCATGGCCTGGAAAACAAGATCTGGAAGTGAAATCAAACTTCACACTTGTAAACAATTGTATCATAAGAGCAATAAGCATTCAACATCAGCAAGACAAGTGTCATGTGCAGGTTTTCTCAAATCAGTAAACTACAACTATTACCATAATTCGCCTCAGACATTGATCATCCCATGTACTCAGTCAACATTAATGTAATCGGTGACTTCCCTTAAGCAAAGTCACTCCACTCATATATTACTAGGAGCTCAATAGTGGCCAGCTAATGAGCCCCATACTAAACTATTCCATAAACACTGCATCTCTTATTTGTTTTTCTCTTAGAAAAAACAAACATTAGCAACACACATTGACCATCGGTGGTCAGGCGCAGGTCGACAGGTTCCAGAGGTGCCATAAAAACACCATAAAGTTAGCCATCCATAGCTGTGGAAAGAATGTTATTCACATCACCAAAGTAACCTTCACATTTTCCCAAAAACACAGTGTAACAGCATCACAAACTCATAACCTGTAAACACAGTTTCTTCACACATAAACCCAAAAATTCTGTAGGAAAAAAAAAACATTAACTAGTCCTCTTATAAATCACATGATCAAACACATGAAGAACTGTAATGCTGTAGAAAAGAAAATGCAAATGTTAGCGCTGCGCAGGCGTATGCATACTTTTTCACAGTGATCTCTGTGAGCAACACAAGGTAGTGAATAACACCCCTGGTAGATGCACAGACACAGAAAATGGCATTTAAAAGGTAAAACCATCACGCAACCTCGAATGTTGCTGTCAGCCTTCTGCTCCTGTAAAAAGAAACACACATACACTGCACCTTTGTCAGGTGGGGGTTAACTTCGCACAGTCGTGTTACATCAGTAAAGTCTTGTCAGCTTTTACCAGTCAGACAGTTTTTTTCTCTTTCACTCATTCATTCATACATTCTTTCTTTCTTTGCTGATAGTGGAATCGATCGTCGCATTTAGTTTCCACTCTCAGCAAAATGACGTCATTTCAAAAAGAAAAAGAAGAACTTTAGCTCGGATTACATCGCTGAATCCTTTTTGGGCAGGGACTCTCATTTTCTAATTGCATCTCCCAATTTACTATATTAACAACTAAATTAGTTGTACTCACAGTACTCATGTTTCCTTCATATTTTTGTCTTGTATAGTCACCAGCAATGCTGCGACGGACACACGAATCTTCTCCATTCTCCAGTTGTGACACCAGTGACACCGAGTCCTGCTCGCTGCCGGTCAACAGCGCCTCACTGCTCTACCGGCAGCAGGGCAGTCAGAAGCCCTCAGCAGTCCGGGGACATGTCCTCAGGAAGGCTAAGGTCAGAGGTCACGCTACACAACGCGACTGGCACCAGTCTTTCTCTGAGAATATGATGTGCCTTTAACTTTACATCTCTGACTAGCTCTGTCTTTTGCAAAACTTCAAACTATGCTGGGACCTTTTTGGAAGCACATTGTTTGATCCATTGTTTGGTGTGGACAGGGTCTTTTGTTTTTGAAATCTGGTTTTATTGTCTTTGACTTCCCTGTTTTGTGTGATGTGGCTCCAACAGTAGGCTGAGTATTTTAAGCAATCAACTTCTTGGAACCTTCTGAAAGGCTCTGATACATCTAAAAGATGCATTCCTCGGCTTAAGATCGACATATTTAAATATGAATGTAACGTTAGTATCCCCATTCTTTTAGTCATATGTAATATATGTAATTTTAATTACATTTGTCTTGAACCTGTGTGGTAGCAGTGGAAACAGTGTGAGTTAGCTCATAACAACTTGCATAAGAATGATCGGGTCAGCAGCGTTATGGTTCAGGATTCCTGCAGTGCAGAGAACAGCTGTGTGTGTGTGTGTGTGTGTGTGTGTGTGTGTGTGCGTGCGTGCGTGTGTGTGTGTGTCAAGGTCCACAGAGGAGTTCCACCAACTAGATAACCAGTGAGGCTAATAAAGATGGTTAATAAAGTTTGTATTTCACTGCATGCTACAGTGAACTACAAGAGAGTTTAGGTACTCCACAAACACGCACACAAGTGTGATGTAGTTGCTCATTTGATTTGGTACTGACTAGCAATGAAAAATGCATTGAGGTAGTAAACAAATGAGAGAATCCCAGTAAATGCAAATACTTGCAATCTGTGTACAAGTATGCAAACCAAATCTTTGTGTTTGTTTGCAGGAATGGGAACAGAAGACCGGCACATAAACCCATCACATACACCCTTGCATCAGTCTTCCTCCAATCTCTTTTTTTGAAATTGTGTATATATTTATTTAAAAAACAAAAAACAAAACCTGTTCATACCGTCAGAAGGTGTGCTGAGGAGGATACATGCATAGCATTCACATGCCTAGTTTGAGTATACTGTAAGTACCACAACATAAACTTTTATACTATTGAGCATGTTCAGTGTACTTGGTTGTGCAACTTGTGTTTTCCGCTTTGACATCTTTTCAAGCAAACACCTGTCTTTATTTTTCCTCTCAAAATGTGTTCCAGCCATTTGAAGTTAAAAAGGTCCAAGGTCAAAACCAAGTATTTATTTGTAAATGTTAAAGGAAATACTAGCTTCCCTGTGTTTATTTATGTTGACGTATTTAAAGTATTTTCGTAGAGTCTGTGGCTTTGCTCACACTCCATTTTCCCACAACATAATTGGTCATCAGTCATGATGCCTCTGTTGTAGTAACGATAATTGTAACACACACCAGCCTGGCAACAATGTAGCTCCTCTCTCATTGATGTTTGAAGAAGTACAAATACAATTGTCCCAACTGTCAGAAACACCGACTCATGGCTAGCAGAAGATTTTGTTAATTGTGTTAAGTGTTTTCACACACAGATCATGATGAATCACACTTGAAGTGTGTTTTAATATGAATGTCCATATTTTATATCTGTGACTTTATTGCTATGGGTAATCCAATGGTAAGTTTGTGTTGGTTTGGTAAGTTCCTTGTTTATTCTGTTTGTTTCAGCTTTTCTTTTTGCATTAAAACAACCATGACTGAATACAGACGTGTGGTCTGGACAACTTCCAAAGAGATGTCTTTTTCTGCCAGTTTAGAGAAGTTTATGAACAGAAAGCTGACCATCTAACTGAAAGTAGATTAGATGCTGAGTCAAATATAAATATAACCTGTTAAATTCACATATAAGATTTTTTTTTTTTTTAATATATGTGGTGAAATATGTGAACATTGTTAATATAAAGAGTAGGCGGGGCAGAAAAGACAGGAAAGGTGTAACACTTAAAGAACAACAGGATGCCTTACAGTTAGATTAGATTGTTATAGCCAACCATGTTACTAAGTGAAATTAGTGTGCATGGCATGGGAAGCTCGCTCATTCTGTGAAGGCACCATTAATGATGTAAACAAGTTTAGGAACAACATACAGTCAGGTGACATTTTTTAAGAGTACCTGCCAGCAGTCCAGACTCTCACTCACTGGTGAAAGTTAAAATTGAAAATATGACAAATTAGACCAGTTTATCAAGAAAGGCCAAACTGGTGACAGACCCAAATAAAATACATATTATACAGCCTATATGTTTATTAAAATGTTTCTAATTAAGGCCTCACTAAGAGCATCATCATCCATGCTTTGTAATAGTTGTATTGTTAATGGAGAACTTGCGCTTCTTTCTGTGTGTGTGTGCTTGTGTTGCTCAGAGATGTCTTCATGGCACATTGCAAATCCTTCAACATTACACTGACTAAAAGGGGGGCACTTGTAAACTCACACTGCTGTGTGTTCTGCTCAATCAAAGACTGTGAGTTTGATTTCCACACTGTTAAACACACATACATTCATCAGTGTCACACTGATAATGGTGTTTCTTTTCTGTTGTTGTTGTTGTTTTTGGACGATGTTTCACTGCCTAAGCTTTGCTACTATGTATATAAGGCTAATTTACTTTATGGGGAGTGTTGACAGATGTAGTGAAAGCATGCACTCAGTTTGGAACTCATTGAACACACAGACACTCACTGGTTCGTGGTGATGTAAATATTTCCTGTCTCCTGCCTGCCGGAATGATATCCCGAAGGTTTTACAAGCATGTTAGCTTAAAGATGGGACAAGAGATGGTGGTCAGCAAGTGTTGACCTGCAACAAAAAAGGATGTCTGATGTCAGTAAATGTGAACCTGCTGTACATAGCTTGGTAAATGTAGTACTGTAGAAGGGCGGGAGGGCTTTGAATTTTTTTTCTTTTTCTTTTGCACCATATACATTTTCTCTTGTTTTATATCACAGACAGTCTCCAACTCGGGGACAGGCACACTTGTACATAAATTAATAAACCTCCGAACAAACCGGCCTCGGACTTTGTGCCTTATTGTTGGTTCTTTTCAAAAGTAATGTAATGTAATGCAATGTAATGACCACAGAACAGTTTTCCAATCGTTTTAAATGAGCTTTGGCCCAGGGCAAATGGCAGTGTTTCCAGACCTATTCACATCTGGCTTCTTCTTTAAATGTTAGAACTTTAACCTGAATTTGTAGATAGTTCTAGATATAAACTTTTCATAGACATTGGAAGGAACACTTCCAGAAATCAGTGTTCTACAGGTTATGCACATCCAATACTCAGAATCCATCATCATTCCTAGCATTAAAAGTGTAAGAGGTTAGAACTTTTCTAGTGACAGAGTCAGAAATTTTCTTTAAATTTGTCAGTAGAGTTTCACTTTAGTCATGTGTATGGTAGAGCTAGTCTATAGAGCTTCATCAGGACAGAGTAGATTTCACGGTTCTACAATTCTCATGTCAGAAGAAGCTTTTATGTTGTTCTTTGATGGTCAGTGTACGTTCACAATTATTTTCATTTTGTTGACACAGACAAAAGCAGAAATTTTCTCAATGTATATTTTGCAAAAATGGAAGTTTTTTTCTTCCAATTTTTGTTTTTTGATTAATTCAAGCCATCAAACCCAGCAAGATTTAGATAGTTTGTGTGTAGCTGACTGACAATAATGAATCCATTTAGAAAATAATTGTACTTTTTAATAGTGAGAACGTAGTGATGGATGTTTACTGATTAGTGGATGACTGGAATGTATAGTGTATGATTGTAATTTACAAAATATAACCAGAGGTGATGTGATGCTTGTGTGATTTTTTTTAACAGGACCCTACAGTAGGATGAGTACCCTAAGTTCACCAACCTTTTGATGGCTAGGTGTGCAGTTCCTGCTTTAAATGCATTCACTTTTTACATTCAGAAATTAAAATCAAGAGGCAAGAAATGTTTGCACACACTTATGAACTTAAATCAATAAGTGTATTGATGTATGCTCAATCATCCAGGTAAGGAAATCTTAAAAAGTTGATTCTGTTCATCAAGTCTTATCTTTTTTTAGTGGGAGAAACATTTTGTCACTCATCCAAAAAAGGTACATAAGATGAATAGAATAAACTTTTGCCGGTTAGAATAATAGTGTCACTGCCCTCTGCTAAGACTGGAGATTAGGGATGGGTATCGTTTAGGTTTTATCTGATACCGGTGCCAAATCGGTACTTTTGAAACGGTGCCGGTGCTCAAACGGTGCTCAAACCGGTGCTTAAAGAATG